TCAGATCATCAGCATGTGAACCACCACAAATTGCAGTTATTCCCATGTCCCCCACCCCACCTTTTCCCAACCCCTTCCCACCTCCAGCAAACCTAGGTCTGTTCTCTCCCTCTGCAAGTCCAATGCACCACTGTGGTCTTTCTTTCCTTCCTTCTTTTTCTTTTAGCTCCCACTTATGAGTGAGGACATGCATAATTTTCCCCTCTGTGCTTGGCTTATTTCACACCTACTTTGAAAAGTGACTTTGATTAATGTGGTACCACCTTATACTTCTGAGGAATGAGGATGTAGTCCTCCAGAACAAGACTCTCACATTCATTTTTCAGAGCTCATAGTTCTTTACCCTCTTGCAGGTTTCCACAACGGTCAAAGTAACTCAGATAAGAAGGAAAAGTCTTTTATTCTAGACTAGGATTATTGGGAATCCTGGTAAACCTGAGGGTGACCTCAGTCAAAATTGAATGAAAACACTTATCTTTCTTTGCTTTTTCAGGGGAGATGGCCTAGAAACAATGTTAACCCAGGAGCAATGAGCACCTCTAGCACCCAAATCTTGATTTCTAGTATCATTCTCCAATAAAGGAAATCAGGGCTCCTTGAGAAATGGTTGATACTAGGACATGGGAAGGTAATATATAAGATAAGTACACAGAACACAGTGCCAGAAAGTAAAGAAGTATTCAATCCCCCTCCCCCCAATAATGATAAGACAAATGAACCAACTGAAACAGCCTCCAATGGCCAAAGCTGGAAGAATTTGGGCAAGAAAATAAAATAGCTTTGGATTATAACCCAAAGTATGAAATAAACATCCACGAGTTCATACTGATATAAGCAAATGATTGCATAAAATAAACAAATGGGGGAGAACAGGCAAGGTTCTCATGCAAAAGGATTCCATCCACTTTATGTAAATACTTTGACCTCAAGGAGGTGGAGCATAAATCCCCACTTTCTAAGTGTGAGTTGCTCATAGTGACAACATGAAAATGTTGGGGTGGGGGGAGTACCTTTACAGGTTTACACTGGAGAAACCTGACAAGCACTACCTCAGGCAGATTATAAAGGATAACATCAGCAGTGATTACTTCTGTTGATAGAATATACCATTGTTGTGATGTGACATGGTAACAATGGCAATTCTTCTCTGTGCTCTTCTTCCGTACAGCCCATAACCTCAGTCTAATCATGAGAAAAACCTTAGACAAGTCCCTCTTGAGGAATATTCTATAAACACCTGAATAGCAATCCTTAACACTGT